GAAGCTGCAGGACGAAAAAGCATGAAAGTCGTCACTTGTACGGTCGTAGAGTTCTTATCGGGGAATCAGCTGTGCGGATGAGAGCGTAATGTTGGAGATGGAGTTCATTGGGCACGTACAAAGTGGGATCGAAATGGGGTTCTATCTAGGGCAGGTGGCATGTTTTTTCTGCCTTTTTCTTCACTATCGAGTTACTCAGCACCTTGTCGTCTATATGCTAATTCCTTATCCACTATCTGTGATGGCGAATGATCGCGGGTTTTGCTTTAAGGCTGCAGGCTATCTTGTAATCGTGGGCGATGGTGGATGTCCCGGCACGTCAGTCTCAGTCAGGCACTCAGTCCCGGCAGTATGGCAGGCGTGCTTCTGCCTCGAGGGAGGGTACTGAGAAACGACGTAGTCTTTTGAACTGATCATGAGAAGTACATTATACTTGTATGTCTTTGGACAGTGATTACGATTCCCATTCATCTTCCATATCTGCTGCAGACATCCCTAATCAAATTTATGGGAATTTTTTCAAAGGAACCCAAAATCGACGAATTGCATTCAGTTTGCAGTCGGATTGCATACATGGGGCAAGTGAGCGCTGTACCACGTTACCGTGTTAGTTGGAGCCACGCCCTAAATTTGAAGTTGACGGGAGCAGACTGTCATTTTAGTACCTCAGCGACCTCGCCAGAGATCCGCAGCAGGTGTTGGCGACGGAATCGAATCATCTTCCGACCAGAACACATTAGACAGTGTATTTTCAGTACAAACGGCCCACCTTCCAGTAGTAATGGCTCTTTTGACTTATTCGTTCTGTTTAGTCTGGGAGGAAATAGGAGACCGAGCAGGAGAAGAGGAGGAACATCCTAAAGGGAATATTACTCTCGATCTTATCACCGTCCTTTTTCATTTTCTGCCTTTTATCATTCTTTCCCTCTTGATGGTCCTCTCCTTGGGTAATGTATCTTCTTGCTTTCCACTTCGTGCAACAGACCTATGAGTCGACCTATGAATGTAGTGAGAACATAATTTGGCCCTTACAGAAAACAGAAGTGGAAGAGACATGTTTATAACTTCAAAATGAACCGAAAAAGGGACGAAACCACGAAGTGCGGCCGAAATTGGGTCCTTACCTACCGCTTCAACAGTAAAGGCTCCATTTCAGCCGTGCTTGTCGTTTCGTCGCGTTTTTCAAAGACGCTTGCGCTTACTTTATTTATAATAATTAGGTAAAATACACAACAGACACATAAATCTCTGTGCAAAGTGTTGCACGCATATAGCCCATTACCCCAAATTATTTTCGACTAGGACTTTTCCTGTTCTGAGCACGGATCACAAAATACCGAGTTTCTCTCTAACTTATCCTTCAACTGCCCTTTTGATAATCCTGCTTCGGTGCTTGGAATTTATGCATTCATTTTCATGAAATCGCGAAAAATGAATTGGCGGATATCGAAGAAACTGGACCGAGGACGACCAAAATCTGACTGTGAATTTGAATTGACTGCTATTAATCTTCTTGGCTTAAGAACTTATTATAGCAGAAAAAATCTGCTTGCATGTTCTCACAACATATTTTTTTGAAATTTATTTGATGTACGAATTATCTGAATACAATTTTCCACTGTAGATGTTTGCCATCGTTTCTTCACCTACCAAACTTCGATCGTAGAAGTCGTTTTTGAAAAGCCTCCACTTGCAATTATCATCAATAAGACCCTTCTAGGTACCTAGGTTTGCAAAATTCATACCTATATCCTCAACTCTCGAAGGATTCCGCTGAATATTGCTATTGACTAATATGCGCGCCGGCAGTTTTTTCCATGGAAATATTGAGGCAGAATTAATCAGGCTGCCGCCCCTTCGTAAAAAACAAAAATGATTCGCCGACTGAGACGTCATGCACAGTTGCTGCTCGTTTGAGTGTTACCAACAAGATCCGAAAGAGTCAAGCGAACACTACCGTAGCCACCAGATTTCAAGCTGGCCTCGCAAGAAAGGTTGACCCGTTTCATAACCCACAAGCGAATAAAAGCCTTTGGACAAATCTAACTTACAATTGAAACGAACGAATACGCTGCTGTCGCCCGCTCGAGCGACTCGAACAACGCAGCAACGGTTGATACAGGAGAACAGGTGGTATGGACAGGCGTACACCATCGTTGCGGTGTTGAAAGGTTATAGGGGGGGGCGTCGCACTTTCGCTGGGGATGGGGCGACGGGTCGCATTAGGTCGTTGTTGGCAGGTACGGGGAGGGGGGGTATGGTAATCACCATTTCACATATCACGATGCTGTATCCTGGGCTACCGAATTCTGGCTTCAAACCGGACCGTCCAAGTCCAGAGCCTTGAGACGCACAGGATTCTACGAGTTGGCATACCACGATGCATCGCACTCACCCAGGCCAAAAAAATTTCTGTTTCAAAAAGGCAGCCTAGGTTGCTACTTCATCATGAAACAGCCGGAGCTTGCCCAAACTTGAGCTCCAAACTATTATTATAGTGTAGTTCGCTGCGGACGGTTGTGCGTGTCAGTGCGGCTGCGTTTGGCGCGGTGCCAAACCCCTTCTCCACCAGCTGTTGAAGCGGAGTAATGATTCATATGACTGCTATCATATAGTCAGCAAGGAGGCAGAGAACGGCTTTGAACGTGTGACACACTCATACTGCCTGACACGCCCAACCATCCGCAGAGAACTGAGCTGTACGTACATTTGCCCAACAGCTGACTTCTCCAAGATGTTGCCATTGTATTTGTGGCACACCTCTCCTGAGCCCCTCTGTAGAGCCCTTCTCGTCAGAATACGTGAATAAACAAAGCGGTAGTATATAGGGCTTCGAGGACTAATTACACCCACTTCCACGGATCTCAGTCCTTGCCGTGTGTAGGGTGAATGGGTCCGCAGCTGCTGCACAGCTTAATGGTCTGCCCTCTGTAGTTAACGGACTTGACACCTCATGCAAATCGAACAATTTTTAGTGTGCCACTTTCTCCGGTCGAAAGTGTACAGGAACCGGGCTGGAGGGTAGCGATACTCGGACACCACCTCACTGCACCCGCGCTGCCGTACGACCAACCACATTCCTGACCATAGCTAAACACTCCACTGTCCGCGCCTCCACTACTGGTTGTCCTCTACTGCTTAGTGTGTGTTTCGCTGCGGGACCTGGTATCTGCGCAAGTGCTGCACATTGAGGGTAACGCGGAGGACGAGATAGAGACGGCAGTAGGTTAAAGCTACCTTTCAACCTCGTTCCCCCGTACTTTTGAACGGAGAACGTGGCACATTTCTGCAGCTGCGGACTCGTTCGCCTCGCACACGGCAAGGACTGTCTTCTGAGGCAAGTGTACAGTCTGTGTTTAAGAGTCCTGGACTCTGCGCAACCAGGATAAGCATGTGGTCAGCGTCATGCAACGCGCTTAGTAGAGAACGGACTTGGAGTTTCACCCTACAAGTGGAAATGGAGACCTGAAATTAAGATTTCCTCCAATAGTCGACGATCTGGGAAGATGCACAAAAGATCGAAAACCAGGTGGTCTTGACACGTCATGCTTACTTGATGACTGTTGGATCAATGCTTACTTTTTGGATGCCACAAACTGGCAAACGAACACCAGGATGACTACCTGCCCGATGGTGGCACGTTTTTCACGAAAGTTCTGCACGAAAGGAATGAAAGCCCGTGTTCCTTAAAGGAAGAACCCGCGATTACTCGCCATCTCAGATGGTGGATTAGGGGGTTCCATATAGACGACAAGGGGTTGAGTGATGATAAGTGAACAATGACACAAGGGTTGAGTAACTCGACTGTGAACAAAAAAAGCACAAAAAACATGCCACCTGCCCTAGATAGAACCCCATTTCGATCCCAGTTTGTACGTGCCCAATCAACTCTATCTCCAAAACTACGCCCTCATATGCACGGCTGATTCACCGATAAGATTTCTACGATCGTACAAGTGGCCGTGCTTTCTCGTCCTGCAATCTCATTTTCCACTGGAAGTCGGTCATTAGGGGCGGAGTCTGGAGGCGGAGTCACTGGAAAAAAAGGAGGAGCCACTGAACCTATATTGCGCTACAGCGCCCCTCCCATAGAATTTTTTGCCCGCTGAAACAGCGTACAAGGCTGTTCGCGACTACCGCTAACCTCCTGACCGCCATGACTTTTTCACTCCGATACCTGAGCGCTGGACCATGCCTTTCAGCCAGCGCGAGAGAATGCACTGGAACTTCGTCCGGGCTCGCCATTACGGACACGTAATGTAGTACGTGCTTTTTCGCGCTAGTTTGATGATCAACACCGATACAAGTGAACAAACATGGCAAGCTGCTGAGAAACGAGAAGATTAGAGTTACAGTCGTCATTCGGGCAGTTGATTAGGCGGTCAAAGGGTCGAGACGCGGCTGCGGCGCGTCACGACCGCGGCGATCAGCTGGTTCCAGCCTGGTTTAGGCATTCTGTCCCTCATTTTCACTGTATTTTCTATCTTTTTTCAAGGTAAAGTTGTATTATTGTCTTTATAAAGTATATTAGAAGTTAGATACATTTTTTGTTTCCGTGATTGTTTTGCAATTTTTCTTCGTATTCGTTAAACTGTTTGTTTAATTGTTCAAGTGTTCGCAAAAATTAGAAAAATCTCAATCATAATTTACCTTGTGAGGACAAGGAACAACTAACCATAAGAAAGCCATCCGAAAAGTGAAAAGTAAGGAGAAAATGGCCAAACCAGGCTGGGAACAGCTGATCGCCGCGACGCGCCGCGTCTCGACCCTTTGACCGCCCAATCAACTGCCCAGATGGCGGCTGTCTCACTAAGCAACTTTGTAACCATAATTTGTGTGCTGTGAAAGTAAAGTGGAAATTCTTCGAAGTCCTCCGCTGCAGTGCAGCAAGGAGTGCAAACTTCACATCGTCATCTGTTCGAGAATAGCATTTTATCTTTGTAGAATGATATGACACTCGGATTTCCCTCTGAACACAACGATACAGCAGATAAGATCATTCAGTCGTCTACCGTGGAAAATGTGTAGACGATTTCTTGAAAATATTGCTGTTCTGGTACGATGCGAATACTTGGAAAATTGTCCTGAAACACTTCGCTTTAAAAATCACACGAGGTGAGAAATTGTGAGACTGTGAATTCAGAAAGGTGCAATTGTGAGACAGTGAGTTCAGAAAGGTGCAAACAGGAAAGTTTCTCAATACATGCACCACTCAAATCAATACATATACAGGGGGGAGGCTAAAAAAAAGTCACTTTTCTTCATTGACTTCGAGGCGCTTCAAAATTACACTTTATTGAATTCTCATCGGACATCAGCCTATCACCACCCAGGTATGCAGAGCATATTAAATATTATCATGACATTCCGCCACAGACTTCTGGACGAGCGCCATCGAGAGATTCTGGCGCGCGACCGCGATGTGGTGCCTGAGATATCATAGCGAGATAGTCATTTTCACGCCACCGATAGACACCCTACTGAACTTTCTGCGCCGAACCAGGTAATTGAAGGGATTGTAGGTCAGGTCGCACTTGGTTAATACTCCAGCTTTCTTTAGTTATCAGCACGCCCTTCATTCCAAGTAGGCAGGAGTTTTCCCAACGCCCTTTGATCCATGTGGTGTCACCCAATCCTGTAGCAGTACAAAGTTTCCATGAAGGTACGGGTGACGACATGTTAAGGAGATTATTCTTCTCGAGTTGCTTGATGTTATCGCCAGCGCTCACCTTCAGTCCGGGGTTCACGAAGAAAATATCGGTCTTTCCATTCCAGGTACTCAGGTCCATACCATCACCCGCGCCTTGGCGAACTGCGGTTGGAAGATCGATATCCTAGACCGTGGCGACGTTGTCGGAGCTGCTCGATGTTGGAGGTCATCCAGATCGAGAGTACTGGTCTCCAGGTAGCTATCCATGGGTGACTCCATACTAGAAGTTTCGCAGCTGTTTGGAGGTGACGTGAATTCCAAAGGTCTTCTCCAGTCAGGCTGCGACTGAGATGACTTCATTTTTTGGTGTACATGAAGGTGATGGGCGAGAGCAGCTCCTGCTTATAGAGGAACATCTTGTAGGAGCTTCCCGCCTCTGGCGTACTCGTACTCCCATCGTCTCTGTCTGGCCTGCGAAAACTTTTGCGTGGATAAGTGACTCGGACGAAGTGGCTTTTTTTGCCTCCCCCCCCCTGTAGCTGGAAACACCACAGTTCAGAAAAGTTTTATATCCAGCGGGGCGAGTTAATTCAATTTTCCTTCGAAACCACCCTGACTGATTGCGACGATATCAATGGTAAGTCTGTGAGTGATCGTGACAATTGACTGTGCACATTAGCTTACAACGGGATAATATCTGGTAAGGTGTAGTTGTAGAAAATGTGCCGAAAGACGCTATTTGAACTTGAAACGGTCACTTACATAATTTAGAGCGCCGGTATGAAACTGAGGTTCTATCGCCAAAGCTTTTCCTGACTGATATATCTCGCCTCCTTTGCCCGTAACATCGTGCAGGTTACTGGAGCCATAGAGATGAAAAACTGGATATGATGTCGATACCGCCATTTTGATGCCTGACGTCGGTGAATATAGCCTGGAAATGAGAAGAAAATTTTTATACGAAAAAGAACGGAGGAGAGGTTGGCGTGATCAGAAAATATGAGTCATCATCTGGAGTGTTCCAGATGGCGATAACTGTTGTAAGGCTCAAAATGGTATCAGAGGTGGTCCTTTACCTCCTTGGAAACCGCTTCTTCAAAATGTACGTACACTTAGTATCACGGATATGGGGAGGTCGCGGCTACAAGCTCGTTTGATCGCGGTTTTAGTGATTCATTTGGCAGAATTGTAATCATGCTTTTTCAGCTCGAATGCGGGACGACAGTTGTCTCAAGAGCAAAATCTCACTGAAATACCGCCTCCTACGCCATTTTGAAGTAAAGTGAGCAGCCACGTCTCCCCCTCTTCTGGGATATTGAGTAGGTTGCTGAATTGCTCAAAGCGCCAATGACGTTATCGAACGCTAACATCACTGGCGCTGTTACCAAGTTTTGGTTTTATCATGGTCCAGTGAACTGAAGAATGGCAGAACGAGAAGAAGGCTTCTAATTATTAACTGCAGAAAAGTGACAATGCACTAGCCGCTCTGTGATTCCAAAAAAAGGTTCACTCCAAAGCTCATTGCGGCAGTTCGCTACTGATGCCACATTACCGCAAACAAAATGTGCTGAGAATGGGCAGGAAATCAAAAAATAAGTGGAACTGAAACGTACGTCAATGGGTGCATCCGTGATCTGTTGTGCGAAAGGACGAGATCGTGGTCAATGTCAATGTTTCCTTTGTCATCTAGAAGACTGTCAAGAGATTTCTCTTCCGTGAAATCGAATCGACTTCCTTTCACGTCAAGGATGGCACCTGAAAAACAATCGACCGCAGTAAGGTAAACTGTGCTCTTATCATTAGATGTTAGAAGAGGACTTTTCTGAGCTGTGATCCATAGCTTAACGAATGGTAGATTTGTTGAGAGGCGGAGTTATCTGGGAGCGGGGCATTATTGGGGCCTATTGTGTGCAATATACAGGGGGGGGGGGGCAAAAAAAAGACATTTCGACCGAGTCACATATCAGCAAAGTTTTCGCAGCCCAGACAGAGGACGTGGATACGAGTACCAGGGCGGAAGATACCCAAGATGTTCCTCTATAAGCAGGAGCTGGCTCTCGCCCATCACCTTCATGTACACCAAAATATGAAGTCATCTCCAGTCGCAGCTGACTGGAGAAGACCTTTGGAATTCATGTCACCTCCAAACAGCTGCGAAACTTCTAGTATGGAGTCACCCATGGATAGCTACCTGGAGACCAGTACTCTCGATCTGGAAGACCTCCAACATCGAGCAGCTCCGACAACGTCGCTACGGTCCAGGATCATCTTCACCTCAGTCGCCAAGGCGCCAGTTGATGGTGGGGACCGGACGTACCTGGAATGGAGAGACCGATATTTTCTTCGTGGGCCCCGGACTGAAGGTGAGCGCTGGCGGTTACATCGAGCAACTAAAGAAGAATATCCTCTCCACATGTCGTCGCCCGTACCTTCTTGGAAACTTTGTACTGCTACAGGATTGGGTGACACCACATGGAATCAAAGGGCGTTGGGAAAACTCTTGCCTACTTGGAATGGAAGGGCGTTGAGTACCTGAAGAAGGTGGAATATCTAAGCAGGTCACCTGACCTAAACCCCTCAATTACCTGGTTCGGGCGGAGTTCAATAGGGTGGTCTACGGTGGCGGAGAAATCGACTATCTCGCTGATCTCAGGCACCACATCGCGGTCGCGTGCCAGAATCTCTCGATGGCGCTCCTCCAGAAGGCTGAGTGGAGTGTCCCTTCAATTACCTGGCTGTGGCGGAGTATCATGATAGTATTTAATATGCTCTTTAATATGGTGGTAGAAATGTCCGATAAGAATTTAATAAAGTGTAACTTATAGCGCCTCGAAAGTCAAGGAAGAAAAAAGTCTTTTTTTGGCCCCCTGTATGTGTGATGGGCGTTTCGCGCAAGATTGGAAAAAACCGCTTTGCGGAAGAATCCTGAAAAAAGTAGGTATTCATCGTGTCGCTCGAGCACGGAGAACACACTAGGAAAGCATAGCGCGTGGAACGGACGACGGAAAGTCTTCAAGGGCCCACTCTATCGATTCGGTGATCAGAGGAAACACAAGTAACAGGTTGCGATCCATAGCGTTAGCCTTCTAACAAAAGGGTGACAAAAAATGTGGCAAATTTATGTTGGCGCGTTTTTGGCATTTCCATATAGTCTTTATACCCCTGATAGACAAGATTGAGCAACTAACAAGCATAAGCGTTTCTGCTAGCTTTTCAAGAAGGATAAGAGAAAACCAAGGCTACGGATTCTATAAGTCGCACATATTTTCTGGGCCCTAGCCCTAGCCAGGAAGTCACTGCTGGTCTTCGTTGAGCGGAACGTAGAGGTCAATGTTACCAAATAACAGCAGTGGTGCACTGAACCAGCATTTCAGCTCTGACGGATTCCTTCTTCAAAAAGGCTGTGCTTCTGTACACTCGGCCCGATCCACGACTGCAGTTTGCAAAGAGCTGGAGGCAGGGACTTTCTGTTGTCTTACTCGCCAATGGATTATTTTCACGATCCCCAGTGTTCACTTCTCTGCAACTCGAATGCTGGGATATAGACTGCACAGTGACAAGGCACTGAAATAGACGCTGGGATATCGCGAATTGAGCGTGACGTGACGCAAAAAAAATTATAAAGCAGAGGCCGATGGCAAGAACCCGATTGAGATGGATGGATCACTTGTCTGTAATTATGAGTTGTTTATATAATCATAAAATTCACCTGTGGGGAAGTCATTCTCGTCAGTG